CACATGCATATGCTGCCCCTTGTTGGGATGCCCATCCTGCAGGGAGAGGGGAACTGAGGATTCCCTGCCCTTTCGAGCTCCATTGTGGGTTAGAGAACAGGCAGGTGGTGCAATGTGGGGCCAGGGGGAATCCAGTTGCCGGTCAGCGAAGCCTGGTACCCCACTGCTGGCATACCTACCATGGAGGTTACCCTTGGGAGTTGTCCTAGCTCAGGGTTGTCTCCTGGGCCCCTGCCTATAGACATGGGCTCTGCTGTACGGCCCCTCCTGTAACCCTGTGTGTATGTGTCTCGGTGCAGCGGTACCAAGCAGAGATCAATGACCTGGAGAACCTAGGCGAGATCGGCAGCGGGACGTGCGGTCAAGTGTGGAAGATGCGGTTCAAGAAAACGGGACACATCATAGCCGTGAAGGTGAGCAGCGGGGGCAGGGCCTTAAGAACAGACCGAGCAAGGGGTGAATAGTTCCATCAGGAAGGGAGGGAGTATTGTTGAATGGGGCGAGCAGAGAACTGAGGGTCAGGACTCCTGGGCTCTATTCCCAGCTTTGAAAGGGGAGTGGTGTCTAGTGGTCAGAGCAGGGCAGTGCTACATGTCAGGACTCCTGGGTCCTATTTCCAACTCTGGAAGAGGGGTGGGGTCTGGTAGTTAGAGCTTGGGGGGCCAGGGCTGGCCTTCTGGGTTCTGTTCTCGCCTCTCATTGGGGAGTGGTGTCTAGAGGTTGGAAGAGGGGGGCCTTGAAGCCAGGACTCCACTGCCTCCGTGTGACTTTGAGCAAGTCATGTCCCATGTCTGTGCCTCAGTTTCTCCACCTCCGATCTGGAGATAACGCTGCCCTACGTGGGTGGGGAATCATCCGCGTTAATTAACAAAGGGTTCTACGGTCCCCTGCGTGGCAGGGCAGAGCAGATGTCACTGTTCATCCCTGCAGTCGGCTCTCAGCCCATAGAGCCGCTCTGTAATCCCCACCTGTTGTCTGGTCCCCACAGCAAATGCGCCGCTCAGGTAACAAGGAGGAGAACAAGAGGATCCTGATGGACCTGGATGTGGTGCTGAAAAGCCACGACTGCCCCTACATTGTCCAGTGCTTCGGGACCTTCATCACCAATGTAAGAGCCCCCTACGCTCACGCTGCAGCTCTCCATCTCCCCCTTGTGGCTGCGCGCCCTGGCTACAGCCTTGAGCTGTCAGAGCTGGGTCGTCCAGTTCAGGCAGCTGAGGCTTGTGCTTGTGGAGAGATCCCGGGTTCGATTTCCGCTGCCGCCCCCATGTGCGGTGCGACGTTACCCAAAGCCGCCACCTCCTTTCCGCACATCGCGCCCCCTGGTAACCTGGCCTTGGTTTCCCTCCCACACAGACAGACGTCTTCATTGCCATGGAGCTGATGGGCACATGTGCGGAGAAACTCAAGAAACGCATTCAGGGGCCCATCCCAGAGAGGATCCTGGGGAAGATGACAGTGGCGGTGAGTTCTGGTGGAGCGAGGTGGGGGAAGAGCAAGTGGGGCTGGATGCAGCGTGATGGGCACCTGCCAAACCTTTCTCCCACGTGAGCAACTGGGAGGGACCCGATGCACTGCCGGGTTGGCTTTGCACAGACAGGGTCTGTGCTGGGAAAGGGGCTCCCGGAGGTCGAGATCTCTCGCCTCAGGGACTTGTTCCCACTGATCTCTGCACAGCACCCCGTGCACGCCTGGGGCCTTAGTCCTGCAATTCAATCTCATCAGCTGGCTCCTCCCTCCTCCAGGACAGGAATTCTGGGATTGATGGGCCTAGAACTGAGCTCTCGGTGCCAGGTGTGCTCTCTGCAGAGCTGTGTACAAAGGGGCTGACCCCTCCCTGCTGCATATCGAGCCTGGGATCTCTTTGGCTTTTCTAGCTGGCCCCTCCTTTTGCTGATCCTCCTGTGGTGAGCCTGGGGGGCAGGTGGGTGCAGTGGGCTGACTCTGGGAGACGCCATCTCTATCAGCATGGGGTGGCCGTGTCCTTTCAGATTGTCAAGGCGCTCTACTACCTGAAGGAGAAGCATGGCGTCATCCACCGAGACGTCAAACCCTCCAACATTCTGCTAGACGAGAGGGGGCAGATCAAGCTGTGTGACTTCGGGATCAGCGGGAGGCTGGTGGACTCGAAGGCCAAGACCCGGAGTGCAGGCTGCGCGGCATACATGGCGGTGAGGGCTGGGCCGTGCTATGACATAACCCCCTCAGGCTTGGAGAGGGTGCTGCTGGGCCTCAGGCTGTCTGTGCGCTAATTGGCAGCTGTGGGTGCCTGAGCCCCAGGGATGGGTGGTATCTTGGGATGGGATCCCCTTTAATCTTGCCTGCTGTGTAGGGTGAGGCTTGGTCGGTATTGGGATGGGAGACCTCTGAAGAATGGCCAGCTGAAGCAGCTCTCCAGGGTGGCTCTAGGGGGTGCTGTCCTGCTTGAGATGACATAAGTGAGCCAAGATCTAAAGGATCCTCAGCTGGTGTGAATGGATACAGCTTTGGTGATTGCAGTGGATCTGTGCTGATTTAGGCGAGCCATGGATCTGTCTTTAATGACTCTATGGCCCATTTATACCAGATGGGGATCTGGCCCCCTCTGCTTGCCCCAGTGTGCATGGCCTAATTTCAGCCAGGTAATTCCCCCCATTAGCCTAAACTTTAAACTGGTTAAATGAGTCCTATTGACTTCATTGATATGCACATTAGAAATCTGTAGATAGATTCACTTCCCGGGCTACATTGCAGCATTGCTGTGTGGCTGTTATGCAGCTGCCTCGCTCCACCCCAGAGCTGGCTGCATATCAATAGAGTGGTATGATTTCATAATCTCAGTCTGTAATAGGCATGTGCTATAATGTAAGATCCTAGCCTCCAGGTGAGCGCCATTGGACTTAGTGTGTACTGACTTTTCTTTTCCAGCCTGAAAGGATAGACCCTCCTGATCCCACCAAACCAGACTACGATATCCGAGCGGATGTGTGGAGCCTGGGCATCTCGCTGGTGAGTGAAGTCCCTTCTTTACTTTCTCATGCAAAACGCTGCTTTGAACTCAGTGCCAAGATTTGCCACTGGGGCTCAGTGATCTCAAGACAGCCAAAGTCCCTTGGCCATTCTCCCGGTCACGGTGGAGTAAGGGCATGGCTGATCAGCTGCTGGGTTTTATCTCCAGTTGGTTGGCAAGATTTCACCAGCATGTTTTTTCTGTCAGAAAATAGTGATTCATGAAAATGGAAACTTCCCACGTGGCCATGTTGGGCTCAAGACCCCCTGCCCACCCCCCCCAAAAAATGCCCACTACAAAAAGAGTTTTGAAAATGGCAAAACGTCCCATTTTGATATTTCAGCCTGTGAGGGTTCACGCCCCTCCTTCAGGGTAGCACGGCCTAGTGGCCAGAGTCCATATAAGCGCCCCTGGTTGCAAGGCAGCGCGGTCTAATGGCCAGAGTCCATATAAGCGCCCCTGGTTGCAGGGCAGCATGGCCTAATGGCCAGAGTCCATATAAGCGCCCCGGGTTGCAGGGCAGCACGGCCTAATGGCCAGAGTCCATATAAGCGCCCCGGGTTGCAGGGCCGTAGGACCTTACTACTGGCTCAGTGAGGGGGTCCTACCGAAACACGCTGAGGCTTACCGGGGTCAAGGTACCAGTCCGTCACCTCCCCCGGGTTGCTCCCTACCGGCTGGGGAGTTGGGGTCTCCCACGGATCCCAGGGTTCTCCGTGAGTCTCCGGATCCGTCGCCTCCTCTGGTTCCTCCCGCAGTAGGGGTTCGTGCCGGCCTGTAGAAGCCTCTGTTCCTGGCAGCTTCCAGAGCGTCGGCTGGTCCTCTGCAGGAGCTTCCCAGTTAGGTCCTTCCCCTGCGGCCGCCAGCCCCGACTGAGCTGAGTTCCCTCCTTTTATACTCAGTGAGCATCTGGAGCATGCCCAGTACGAACGGGGCGGGACTTCCTCTGTCAGAGCTACTGGTCTGACATCGCTGGGGCTAGTGCGGGGCGGGGCTGCCCCGTCACACAGTCCAAGTGGCTTTTTGTTTCTAAACTTATGTTGTTGTATATTATTTTTTTTTAATTTAAAAGGTCCTAACCAAAGTGAAACGTTTCAAAGTTATCAAGGTTATTTTCAGCTTTTCAGTTTGTGAAAAATTTTGCAATTTTTAGCTTTTTGTCCTGATTCAGGTTCAGAAAAAAATTCGAAATGTTGGTCTGGGAAATTCTAGCCCAACCAGCTCTGCTTTTACCCTTGGCCAACTCAATGTCTCTTCGTCTATTGAGGAAGATACAAGGACAAACCAGTAGCTGGTTTGTGTGGGTGAGGGATGCAGGTTCTTGGACAGCCCTACGATCTGTTATAAACTTTGGGCACTCCTGTTCTTAAAAGGAATTGCCTCGGCAAGAGGAATGCAGAAGATAGCCTGGTCTTGTGGCTAGAGCACTGCTGTGGGGCTCAAGAGTCCTGGGTTCAAATTCCATCTCTGCCACTGACTCCCTGTATGACCTTGAGCAAATCACATCATCCCTCTGTGCCTCAGTTTCCTACCCACAAAAGGGTATAATGACCCTTCCTGTTCTCTGCCTTGTCTGTTTAGCGTGGGAGCTCTTTGGGGCAGAGACTTTCTCTCACTCTGTGTCTGTGCAGTGCCTGGCATAACGGGGCCCCAATTTCAGTGAACCATAATGTTCCTACTAACCTACTTTTGGAAGTGTTAATATCTTTTTAAGATAAAAAGTTCCTCTTGCATTAGTGAAACCAGGACACACGCCTTTGTCACTAGGGCCTTAGGACCAGAAAGCGAAACTGACGAGAAATCAAGTGAAACAAACCTGGCTAGGGCCAGTGCCTAAGCTAAGTGAAATGCAACAGGACAAATCTGTAGGAAAAAAAACAGATATTCAGATATTCTCAGGGGTCAAAAACATGAACCAAAACATTCACACCAGGGTGCTTGAAGTTAGCCTGGTAGGAAAACACCTCCTATTTCAGTGGGAGTCAGATCAACCCTCTAAATCCATAGGAATAAGTGAGCTAATGCCAAACATCTGTTTAGCTTAACAAAGAGAAGGGGTGACTTGATCAGAGTCTGTAAGTACCTATGTGGGGCACAGAAATTTGACAGTAATGAGCTCTTCTGTCGAACAAAGTTCTGACAAGATCCACTGGCTGGAAGTTGAAGCTGGACAAAGTCAGACTGGAAACAAGGCACAAATGTTTAACAGTGAGGGTGGTTAACGAAGGGAACAACTTACTCAGGGCCATGGTGGATTCTATATTGGGTGTTCTTTGGATCTGCATTGGATTGTCCTGCTCTAGTTCAAACAGGGTTTACTCTGGGGAAGTCCTATGGCCTGTGTTTTACCGGAGGTCAGACTAGATTCCTTCTGGCCTGGGAATCTATGAATTACACTAGGCCCCTGTCTGCATTTTTAGGCACTTGGATACCTTTGTAATTTCGTAATGACTAGGCCCCTAATTTCCAGAGGTCTGAGCCCCCACAAATCTCATTACATTTGATGGAAGTAGCACAGCATCGTAGATAGAGCACATGGACTGTCTCTAAGCTCCCTGATTCCATTTTAACCCTTGCTCTCCCACCTCACTCCCTCTCCCCCCCTGCAGGTCGAACTGGCTACCGGTCAGTTTCCCTACAAGAACTGTAAAACGGACTTTGAGGTGCTCACCAAGGTCTTGCAGGAAGATCCTCCCCTGCTCCCAAACAACATGAGCTTCTCCGTGGACTTTCAGTCCTTCGTTAAAGACTGGTGAGTGACGGCCATGCTGCTGGGGAGCCGAGGCCCTGTTCGTGGGCCCCCGAGCCCAGTGGGGGAGAACCAATCCACTGCATCTATGGGGCAGTGTCAACTGCTGAGGGGCCATGCCTTGATCAGAGCCTAAACTGCCCATGAGCCTGTACTGCTTCAATAGATGTGACTCAATGAGTGATCTCCTAAGTAGATGGCACAGGGGCCCCCATACCCTGGCCAGGGGCACCATTTAGGGAGGGGGGCGCCTGCTCCCCCTTTGTTTTGTATCACAGCAGAGCAGGGGTGCATTTCAGATTTTGGTAGGGGTACCCCCATGCCTTCCCTAAAAGGCACCTCTGCAGGCCAGCTCCGCGGCACAGCATGTCGGGCTCGCGCTGTCAGACCCTGTGCCCCTTCTCCAGGGAGCGGCTCCGGCTGGGGCTGCGCTTCATGGCGGGGGAGCTGATAACGGTGCTGCAAGTGCTGGATGGCAGCTGGTGGGAAGGGCAGAAGGAGAATGGGCTGCATGGCTGGTTCCCGGCGAGCTACGTGAAGCAGCTGGAGGTAGGAGACTGGCTGCACTGAGTGCCTGGGGGGCAGGGGGCATGGGGAGGGAGTGCAGGGGGCTAGGGCCATGAGGGAGTTTAGGGGAGACGGGGATACATGAGCATCAGCATAAGCGCTCGGAGGATAAGGGGTGCATGAATAGGGCCATGTGATGTGCAAAGTGCTGTACGGATCTGTGCTGTAAGGGTCCGCGTGGGCGGTTAGCTCAGGATGGAGCTGTTGCCTTCCCAAACCCGAGGTCTGACCATGCACCACTGGCTTTGCTCACACTCCCTAACCCGTATGCAGGGCTGAACCCTGGCAGAGCAGTGTCGCCAGCCTGGGGCTTGGCCCTTCCCAGCACTGGGGTAGAGCGGGCACCTGGGGTTAAGGCTCTCATTAAAGTTGCTAATCACCAGTTGTACCCACTAGAGCAGGGGCTCTCAACCTTTCCAGACTACCATACCCCTTTCAGGAGGCTGATTTGTCTTGCATACCCCAAGTTTCCCCTCACTTAAAAACTACTTGCTTACAAAATCAGACATAAAAATACAAGTGTCACAGCCACACTACTACTGAAAAACTGATCGCTTTCCCATTTCCCCCATAGAATTGTTATACCAAGAAAATAAAAACCAGCAGGATCTTATTAAAGGGGATAAGGCAATATGCCGCATTTATTGTGAATACAGAAAGAATCATAGTAAGCAGTCAGTTATAACTATAAGATTCCATTCAATTTCACATTCATTCACACACACGCAGGTTCTGCAAGGTTGTTATCACAGTTACCAGCCTTAGAGTTGCTCATGCCAAGCCACTGGCCAGGTGGCCTGGACACGAGGAGGGAGCAGGGCCTTATCAGATTCGCATCTGATGCTCCTGGAAGTTGGTTTGCAGAATCAGTTCAGGGTCTGTTCTCATAGGGATCCATCCTCATGTATTTGCCTCGTCATGCTCTTCTCATGTTTGAAGTGGTAATCAATGACTGGTCTCACATTTGAAGTGATAGTCAATCACGCAGATGGCACAGCAATGCCGGAATGACAGTATGTTGTTATCTTGTTCTTCGGCCCTTCTGTTCTTGGGGCAAGTACACCCTCAGGGTTATCGGGCTATCTCGTCCACTGTATTCTTCACCCAAACGGTTTTATTTTAAGGCTGGCACCTCAACTTTAATCTTTCATTCCTCATTCAGTCACACGTACAATCACACTCACACTCCAACATGTATCCTGTCACATCTGCGTTTTATCACCGACCCATCCTTTAACATAACCATTCTGAAATCAGTGGGACATGGCAGACTTCAATAAGTCTATTCATCCCACTTGTTACATCTAAAAGGAAACAAACAAGCTAAGCATGCAAGAGTGGGGGGTTCACAAATCTTATTCTGGAGTTCAGGAAAACAAAGTTGTACCAGCCATAAAGGACAGCTGTTATCTTGTTACTTTTAGAACAATCTCTTAGTCTCTGGATGTGCTTCTACAATTAACACTGACCTTGTAAAACTGACAGGCAGTTTCAATCAACCCAGACTCAGCAGGGTAGCTGAGAACCATATTTCTTTCTAATGGTCAGGCCAAATTCTGGGGTCTGCTGTGGAGTCACTCTTTCTTACGTTTCCCATATCAGAAATATACCAGTTATCAATCTAGTCCAACATAATTATAAAATAAACCAATTGACATAGAAATATGATACTTACCTTTCAATGTATAGTATATAGAGCAGTATAAACATATTGGGTGTTCGAAATTTTAGTTTGTACTGACTTTCCTAGTGCTCTTTATGTTGCTTGTTGTAAAACTAGGGAAATATCTAGAAGACCTGTGCGACCCCCGGGGGTACATGCCCCCCTGGGTGAGAACCACTGCAGTAGAAGGGGTTTGGAATGTAAGGGTTTCTCGGTTGACAAGCCAGCGTGCTGGGCTGCACGGCTCTGGCTCTTGGGAGGTCTGGCTGAACATCGCACTGACACACACCCACGGGGCACAGCTCAGGTCACCCACAGGACCAGAGCCATCCCGGGGCCTTTGCCGCACGCAGCACTGACCTCTGCCCCTTGGCTGTTGACAGACCTTTGACCCTGACACAGCTGCATGGCGGTGGCAAGGAGGGAAAGCCTCCTAGAGCCCCACATGGCAGTGAGCACCCCCTGGCACTCCCGCGGGAACTGGGGAGTCCCAGGCTGGAATTCCAGCTGAGGGGTGTGGAGACTCAGGTCTTTCACAGCCCCTGTCACTCACATGGATTTCAAATGGCAGTGGCCAACTTCTATCTGACCCTGTTTTACACTGCACTGAACAGCTCACTGGGCACTGGGATGGCGAAGGAGGAACTCAGGGAGGTGCTGCTCTGTTGTGACAGTCCCACAGCCAGCTGGAACTGCCATGTGCCCCTGTGCTGCACACAACAGCCTTGGAGAGCTTCTCAGCTGGGGCAGAACCCCCGTCGCCTGCACCAAAGCACTAGGCCGTGATGCCTGAGCTAACGGAGAATCTCTGCTATTTGTTAGTAGTAGTAAGGCCCAGGACAGCCGGGGGAACCACAAGAGGTACATGGTGCACATACATACCAGCCTGTTCATTACACACTTGCTGTGATAAACACAGCTGGCCCTCAGAACCCAGCTGTTCAGCTCTTACTTCTGACATCAGCATTAGAAATCCCTGTGCACCAAGTGCTTCCACCCTGTAACTTCCACAGTCTTTGCTCCGGCTTATCTGAGATGGGATCTTGGGACCTGTCATTCCCAAATCCAGAATTCTCCCCCGAGAGCAACAGGCCCCTCAGTGACAGCGGCACCCCCTCCTCATATGGGACTTTATTCACGGGGATTGAAGTGGGCTCCTCCCTACCACCAGCTGAGCTGGACAAGGCTCTGAATGGTTTAATGGCAGGACATGGCCGAACAGTTCGACTCCACCTCAAGGCTTGGATTGGGAATATCTTTCTGTTTTATTCCCTGATGGTTGTAAATTTACATATGCACTGAAAATACGGCTTTACTTGGTGTTTGTATATGTGTTTTCTTTCTTTATGTAGGAATTAGATGCAGTGCTCCTGTCAGCTAATGTCTAAGTTATCATCTGTAAAAAAAAAAATCTAGCGTGCCTAGGTAGCCCCTGAAATCATGGTTAAAGTCCCCTCCTCCCCCCAATCTGAAATGATCCCCGGCCACTGGATGCTCTAGGCTCTCCCCTCCTTGCTTTACCATTCAGGCCTCTGTGCGATTGCCTTCCAGGAGACTGGGCATGCTTAGCACTGGGGTCTGGGAGGGCCCAGCCTCCTCAGCACACACAAGGGGCCTGGGACTGGTACATCTGGTCAGACACAGTGGCTGTGTACACAAGGGCCAGACAGCTGGGGGGGCTGGTTCGGTAACAGATAAATCCCCATCTCTGCCCTTGACAATGACTCTTCCTAGCCAGATGCTTGGTCCTGGGTTAGAGCACTTGCCTAGGCCCTAGGACACCCAGGTTCAAATCCTGCTCTGTCCCAGCCTCCCTAGGTAACCTTGAGTGAGGCTCTGGGCCTGCCCTGTATGATGGGGTAAGAACACTTCCTTCTTCTGGGGGGAGTGTGAGGATGAATGTGTTAAAAGGATTGTGAGGTGCCCAGTGTCAAAGTTAGATTCAGGACTCACAATTTGTTAGACCACTCTGTTTATTAGCACAGCGCTCTGCTAATACACTCAGATAATGTGAGCACCATGCAAGACCCACACTACCTTATTTTATACAGATAAAGAGGGCGCGAACTTAACAAGAGGACAAGGAAAGCAGAACTGACAAGTTTACCTGAGGCTAGACATACATATTCAATTTCCTTACTAACTTTTACAGATCTCCGGTTAATGTTCCACCATTAGCTTAAGTGGACTCATTGTTTATGCCTTAATGTTTCTTTTCCTGACACCTGTATTTCAACATTCCTTATTTCTGCTTAAAGGTACATACAGCATTTCTTTAATCCATTCTATTTTTACAGTATAATTAATTCTACTTTCACACCAGTTAAGCACTGGACCTGGAGTAGGTGACATCTCTGTACATCCGCACTGAACCCCGGCCCGTCCTGTTTGCAGGACGATGCAAGCTCCCTAATTCCCAGGTTCTTGAGCACTCAGCCTCGTAAGCTGCTCGGTCCCCCTCTCTACCACCAGGCCTTTGTTCTCATGCCATTGAGCAGCAAAGCCTACACTGCCTGGCCATAGGCGAGGTGCCTCCCAAGGGAAATAGCAGAAACCTAAGTGCTTGGGACAGTTCTGTGCTGGTGGGAAAGGCCTGTGTGCTAGGGAGCTCTCACAATCACTCCGGTGATAAGGGACAAAACAAGTTTCTTGAGCTTGACTGACCTCTCGTGGCTGAGGTTATTGATGCTCCGAAGCCCAGAGGGTTGCTTGTGGAGATGGCCAAGACTCTGTATGTGTTTTCTCTCTTTTTAGCCTTACTAAAGATCACAGGAAGAGACCAAAGTACAACAAGCTACTTGTGAGTATCTGACACAGAATTCCGACCTCCCGTCTCCCCGAGCTGCAGGGAGAAACGCCTCAAATAAGGCCCCAGCTACGACCCCCCTGCCCCATTTCATGCTGTACCAGGGTGAGCCTAGCAGCAGGTTCACGGAAGGCCTTGGTGTGATACCACATATTGCACACAAGGCTGGGGGGGCCCTCTGGGTTGCAGGGAGATCTCGGCCGCAGTCAGGCTGCAGTGAATCCGTCGGTCTATTTAAACATTTGCACCACTGCAGCGCCTCTACATCAAGCTGAATAAGCAGCAAATACGAAATTTAGTATTTCCCACTTCGAGTGAGTGGGGTCTAATTGTTAGAGCAGGGGGTTGGGAGTCAGGACTCCTGGGTTCTAAGCCCTGCTCTGGCGGGGGAGTAGGGTCTAGTACAGGGGTGGGCAAACTTTTTGGGCCTAGGACCACATCTGGGTGGGGAAATTGTATGCAGGGCCGGGGCAGGGGGTTGGGGTGTGGGAGGGAGTGCAGGGTGTGGGAGGGGGTGCGGTGTGCAGGAAGGAGCTCAGGGCAAGGGATTGGGGCAGAGGAGGGGTGTGGGGTGTATGAGGGGGTTCAGGGAAGGGGGTTGGGGTACAGGAGGGGTGCGGAGTGCAGGAGGGGGCTCAGGGCAGGGGTTGGGGTGCAGGAGGGATGTGGAGTGTGGCAGGGGGTTGGGGTGCAGGAGGGGTGCGGAGTGCAGGAGGGGGCTCAGGGCAGGGGTTGGGGTGCAGGAGGGGTCCGGAGTGCGGCAAGGGGCTCAGGGCAGGGGGTTGGGGTGCAGGAGGGGTGCGGGGTGTGGCAAGGGGCTCAGGGCAGGGAAATGGGGAGTGGGGTACTGGAGGAGTTGGTTCGGGCTCCGGCCTGGCACCACTTACCTCAAGGAGCTCCAGGGTGGCAGCGGCGCACACCGGGGCCAGGGCAGGCTCCCTGCACACCTGCCCTGTCCTTGGCCCCGCGCCGCTCCAGGAAGCGCTGCGGCCCCTGGGGGAGGGGAGGTGGAGGGCTCTGCGTGCACTGCCCTTGCCGCACCTCCAGGTACCTTCCCCGAAGCTCCCATAGAATCATAGAATATCAGGGTTGGAAGGGACCTCAGGAGGTCATCTAGTCCAACCCCCTGCTTAAAGCAGGACCAATTCCCAACTAAATCATCCCAGCCAGGGCTTTGTCAAGCCAGGCCTTAAAAACCTCCAAGGAAGGAGACTCCACCACCTCCCTAGGTAACGCATTCCAGTGCTTCACCACCCTCCTAGTGAAATAGTGTTTCCTAATATCCAACCTAGACCTCCCCCACTGCAACTTGAGACCATTGCTCCTTGTTCTGTCATCTGCCACCACTGAGAACAGCGGAGCTCCATCCTCTTTGGAACCCCCCTTCAGGTAGTTGAAAGCAGCTATCAAATCCCCCCATATTCTTCTCTTCTGGAGACTAAACAATCCCAGTTCCCTCAGCCTCTCCTCATCAGTCATGTGCTCCAGATCCCTAATCATTTTTGTTGCCCTCTGCTGGACTCTTTCCAATTTTTCCACATCCTTCTTGTAGTGTGGGGTCCAAAACTGGACACAGTACTCCAGATGAGGCCTCACCAATGTCGAATAAAGGGGAACGATCACGTTCCTCGATCTGCTGGCAGTGCCCCTACTTATACAGCCCAAAATGCCGTTAGCCTTCTTGGCAACAAGGGCACACTGTTGACGCATATCCAGCTTCTCGTCCACTGTGGCCCCTAGGTCCTTTTCTGCAGAACTGCTACCTAGCCATTCGGTCCCTAGTCTGTAGCTGTGCATGGGATTCTTCCGTCCTAAGTGCAGGACTCTGCACTTGTCCTTGTGGAACCTCATCAGGTTTTTTTTGGCCCAATCCTCTAATTTGTCTAGGTCCCTCTGTATCCTATCCCTACCCTCTAGTGTATCTACCACACCTCCCAGTTTAGTGTCATCTGCAAACTTGCTGAGATTGCAGTCCACACCATCCTCCAGATCATTAATAAAGATATTAAACAAAACCTGCCCCAGGACCGACCCTTGGGGCACTCCACTTGAAACCGGCTGCCAACTAGACATGGAGCCATTGATCACTACCAGTTGGCCAGGGTTCCCCGTTTCCGGCCAATGGGAGCTGCGTGGGGCGGTGCCTGGAGGCAAGGGCAACGCACGTGGAGCCCTCTGCCCCCCCTCCTGAGGGCCGCTTCTGAAAGTGGCGCGGGGCCTGCGGTGCCACAGTGGGCAATCCCGCGGGCCGTAGTTTGCCCACCCCTGGTCTAGTAGTTAAAGATAGGGTTACCATATTGGAGCCCCTGAAAAAAGAGGACACTCCAAGGGGCCCCAGCCCCGCCCCAACTCTGCCCCTTCCCCGCCACCGGCCCTGCCCCAACTCCGCCCCTTCCCTGCCCTCGTCCCGCCCCAACTCCGCCCCTTCCCCAAAGTCCCTGCCCCAACTCCGCCCCCTCCCCTGAATGCTCCGCCCCCCTCCTCCTCCCCCTCCCTTGCTTCCCGCGAATCAAATGTTCGCAGGAAGCCTGAAACAGGCAGGCAGCAGGTAAACTGGGGCTGGGGAGGGCGTGAGGAGACACGGCCCAGTCCGGCCCCCCCGGGCGAGCGGCTCCCTCCGGTGGCCGGCCAAGAGGCTCTGGCCCCGGCAGCTCCGGCCCGGCTCGGGCCCTGGGGCGCCGGCCAAGCACCCCCAGCCCCGGTCGCTCTGGCTTGACTCAGCTCGAGCCCCGGTTCCGGCTGCCGGCCAGCGGCCGAGCACCCCCGGCCCCACCGGCCCGGCCGAGCCGCTCTGGCCCAGCCCTGGCCGAGCACCCCCAGCCCCGGTCCCAGCGGCTCCGGCATGGCTCAGGCCCTGGTTCTGGACAAGCGGCTCCGGCCCAGCCCCGGCCGGTGGCCGAGCACCCCCGGCCCGAGCAGCTCCGGCCCGGCCCCGGCCCTGGCCGAGTGGCGCCGGCCGGCGGAATCCTAGCTCGCAGCCGCCTCCTCCCGGGCTCTGGCAGCTGCTGCACTGGGGAGAGTGGCGGGAGCCGGGAAAGTTGAACCCCAGGGAGGAGGCGATCCCCTTACCATGCCTCCCTATTTTCCCGGACATGTTCGGCTTTTTGGAAATTCCTCCCGGACGGGGATTTGAGGACCAAAAACCCGGACATGTCCGGGAAAATCCAGACGTATGGTAACCCTATTAAAGATGGGGGATGGGAAGTCAGATCCCTGGGTTCTATTCCTGATATGGGGAGAGGAGTGCAGTTTAGATGGGGGGCCTGGGAATTGGGACTCCCGGGTTCTGTCCCCAGCTCTGGGAAGGGAGTGGGGTCTAGTGGTTAGAACGGGGGGGGGCTGAGAGTCCTGGGTTCTGTTCCCACTTCTCCCACTGAGTTTTTGTAATGCCTTGGACAAGCCTGTTCTCTTTGCCTTGGTTTTACTCATCTTTTAGTTCTTTTTCTTTAACATGAGTCCCGCTCCTCTGTCCACTGTGCCATCCTGCTCCCCCCCCTCCCCGAGCTGCCCTACCGCCACATACTCAGAGCTACTGCCTGCTGCAGTGTTGCAAAACTCATTGCAGAGAGGATCACTGACAGATGGCAGTATTCTGCATGTCCTCAAGCGGTGTGCGTGGCTGTGTGTCCCTGATTACATGTCTCTGGGGGGGGGGGTGCATGTGTGTTTGTCCCCCTGATTCCATCTCCCGTAAGGAGTACTTGTGTGTTTTTGACTCTATCTCTCCCAGGCGGTGTGTGTCTCTGTGAGTCCATCTCCCCCATGGCGTCCGTGTGTGTGTCTCCGTGAGTCCATTCCCCCCTGGGGTGTGTGTGTGTGTCCCTCACTCCTTCCTCCCCGCATGGTGTCTGTGTCCCCACACTGCTAGCGGGCTGTGTCCCTCCTCCAGCCCTATCCCCCTAAGATGCTATATTCCCCCCAACTCCCCACCGTCTCCCATTCCTATGGGTGTTTATGCTCAGGGTCCCTCTGGCTTCCCTTCCAGGAACACAACTTCATCAAGCGTTACGAGACACTGGAAGTGGACGTGGCGTCTTGGTTCAAAGACGTCATGGCCAAGACAGAGTCGCCCCGCACGAGCAGCATCCTCAGCCAGCACCACCTGCCTTTCTTCACCAGGTAGCCACACGGCCAAAATGATGAGCCAGGGAGGGGGCCATGCCAGCGAGAGCTTACGGCCGGTCACCGCCACAGGGTGGGGACAGGGAGGAGACCCATGGCAGCCGACCCCCCCCACACCTTTGCAAAGCAACTCTTCTGAGGCTTGGTTGAACCGTTCATTTCACCCGCCCTCCTCGCTCTCTCCTCCAGTGTTGTCAGGGGAAGTGGGAGGTTGTTTGTTTTCTCTGGAGTGTGGGTTTATTGCTTCCCTTCCGCTAGAGTCCTTGTGTCTCGGGCACCAGCGAGCCGAAGAAGACAAGTCCCTCTCTATCTCTGTCCCATGTCCCCTGGATGGGAAGGCTCTTTCCAACTTGGCTCTGCATCTCCAGCTGGGTGAGAGAAGGCCCTTTCCAGCCCGGCCCTGCATCTCCAGCTGCTTGAGAGCCTGCAGCCTGCATCCCAGCCAGATGAGAGAAGGCTCTTTCCAGCCCGGCCCTGCATCTCCAGCTGGATGAGAGATGCTCCCTTCCAGACGGGTCCTATGTCTCAAGCCAGATGAGAGGCCTGTTCCAGTCCTGGCCCTGCATCTCCAGCTGGATGAGAGATGGCCCCTTCCAGATGTGTCCTGTGTCTCAAGCGAGATGAGAGAAGGCCTGTTCCAGTCCTGGCCCTGCATCATTGACTGGACGAGAGAAGGCTATTTCCAGCCCTGGCTTGTGTCTCCAGCTGGAGAAGAGAGGGCTCTTCCCAGCCCTGTCCCTCAACCTCCTTGAGACAAGAAGGCTCTGCTGGGAACCTCATACTTCCCTTGGTCCTGAGAGGCGGCGTGTCACCTGTTTATGCCTCTCTCTTCACCCCTCCTGCCCCCCGAGAGACTTGGGGAATGGGGAAGGGAGGCTGGGACCCTCACTCATGCACTGTGAACAAAGACACACAAATTTTTTTTACTACTTATTTATTAAGTTTGGACTCTGCAGGGCTGCGGGCTCCCTGCCATGCCCGTCCGCCAGCCACCTGCGTTGTTGTTTTATGTCTCTTACTTTTCTCTCGTGTTTTGGGATTGTATTGGGGGAGGGGAATGGTGGGGGAGGGGGCACCTGAAGCGTGCGGCTTCAGACTTCACCTAGGAGCTCAGCCCTTGCTCTCTTTTCAGTTAATTTTATTTTTCCTTGGGGGTGGGGCAGGGGTGGGTTTGGGGATTATTCTCGCCGGAAGCAGCTCAGCTGAAGTGATTTATGCTGATGATTTTTTTGTTAATTCTGTTTTTGATCTCAGGGGTTTTCCTGTTTCCTTTATTACTATTTTTTTTTCCTTGGAGTGCGAACAAAAGTTTTTTGTTTTTCTTCTGTCCGCGGCTTTGTATTTACCAAAGTGATCGCTGGGCTGCTGAGCATTGGGAGAACATGGCTGCATGTTATTTTTCTTTTGCTATTTAAAAGGAGGGCGTGAAAGTGCAAAAAAAAAAAAAAATTTAATTCTAGGGGGTAGAAACAAGTGTTTGCAGCCTGCAATCTCCTCCAACCGCGGCAGCTGCGGAGTTGTAAAAATCAAAGACACTAATGAAACTTGAAGTTGTTCTTTTCCCACCTCCTTCCTTTCAATCTTGTCAGAGCCCTGGGTTTATTCAGGCTTGTCCTCAGCTGGTGTGAAGGGCGTAGTGGCCACCAGTGGCACGGTGCTGGTTCAGCACAGCTGCTGTAAGCTCCTGTCTGGCTTCGCCGGAGCTACGCAGGTGTATGCCGGCAGATGTGAATCAGTGCAGCCGTGACGTCAGCGGAGCTACGCTGCTTGACATCGGCTGGAGGAGGTCAGCCTGGCTCCACCAGCCTCCTCGGTTTACGTTTGCTGAGGATTCGGCTGATATTTGATAGCATGTCACCTCTTTGGAAGCCTGGGGGTGTCTTGGGGGAGGGGGCTCCAGTCAGAGCTTTTTGGGGGGGTTGCTGATTGTTTGATTTTTCACATTCATTCTGATTCGCTGGGGACGGCAGGTGCCCTCAGCAGCTGTGGGAAGCAGGAGGTGGGGAGCGTAATCCTGAAAGCCTGTGGGATGAGATCCAGTCTCCAACCTCCCTTGACTCAGCCTCCGAACGAGGCTGTGTAGCTCACAGGGGCTGCGGTTGACATACAGCCCATTTTTAGCAGAGATCTCGTTTTTTTGCCTCCAGAAGGACTTGTGTTTGCTTCCTCTCCAGCCGGAAGGGAACGTGGCATGGGCTCCCCTCCAGCGGGTTTGGGTTAGGCTCACCATTTCGCAACTCCGGGCAGGACTGGGCTCTGCACTGCCCTTGCTGCTGGCTGGGGGAGCTGTACGTCGCTCTGACAATGCCCCAGGTGCTCAGATCCTACCATGATGGGCAAGTTGCTTTACAAATCCCAACCCAAAAATAGTGACGTGGAGAAGGTCAGGTGCCGAGCAGATTTGGGCTGCAAGGTTCGTTGAGCTCCTGAGTCCAGCTGGCAGCCGAGAACCGTATTGCACTGTTGGCCCCATTCCTCCAGTCCAGCAATAGACAGAAACCTCCTAGCAAGGGGGCCCACACACTGCAGGATGGCAGCACCCATTTTGCCAGGCCAGGTCTTTTCTGTCCAGCACAGTGAAACCACTCTGTGCCCATAGTTCTCAGAAAGGGAGGTGGAGCCTGGGTGGGTGGAAACATGGACACAGCTGCCTGGCAGTGCCTTGCACAATGCTCCGTTCTGCCCTGGGTGGGGCGGACCTGGGACAGCAGTTAAGCATCTGGGTAAAGGAAAGTGTGTATATTGGGTGGGTATGGGATTGCTGGTCTGGCTCTGCAAGGGGTTGCCAGAGAGCATCCGGGGCAGGAGGATGGGCACAGAGACCAGCAAAGTGCCTGCTTTATCTCGGGCATCAGCAATGGAGCATTCTGCTGTCAGCAGGTCAGCAGAATAGGGAGGCAGGAAGGATCTTCAAACCCAAATGCAAGTTCTGGCACAATACACCCCACAGCCCCTCTTTCCCCACAGACAGGAGCTGGATGGGAGAGACAGCCCCGCACTAACGTGGCAGCCAGGAAACCCATCGGGCTGTTGGGGTGGGAGGAAGAGGAGCCCCTCTGCTTTATGGAGCAGGGGCATGTCTCCTTCTCGGGTCTCCAGGGAGAGCTTACAGCTGTTTGGATCATCAGTGGTGGATGGCTGTTAATAAAACAGAGGAGGAGCGGAGAGCAGCTGGCACAGGGAATGAGGGGAGCCCTCAGCTTCCAGCACACGAAGCAAAATCAGAAAGGTTGTCAAAGAAGCTGTAAACGCAGTGCAGGATACCACGTGTGGCCATTTCTGGGTGGCTTTCTAGATGCCCTGAAGATTAGCCCTGGCCCAAGCCCTCCTTTACCACCACCTCCCATCTCTTCACAAAGGGCTTGGCGAAGACTTCCCGCGGAACCCATCAGCCACAGCCAATCCACCGCTCTGAGGAGCTGGAGCCTCTGGCATGGCATTGCAGAAAACCACGGCACTGCCAAGCCAGCTCTACTCCATCCTTGCAAAGAAAATAGCCCTTGTGAGGCATTAAGGAGTTGTTGGTGTTGAATCCAGTCCTGCCAGTCTATTTTCCCTTGCATCTCTCCTGCTAAGAGTCACCATTGCCACCAGTCACTGCAGTGGACCTTTGCAAGAGCATCCAGCAGCTAGATCAATACAGTTTAACTCATCCTCACAATGCGGCTGGCATGGAATTTCCTAGCTGCAGATGGAAATTATGGGACCAGCTGTATCCTCAGGAATCTAAGTCCTAAGAGCTATAGATTTTAGCTTGTTCTGTTTCTAAATGTGGAAGAGGCCCTCAGTCTAAACAGGGAGAATTCTGTTCCAATGTGGATGCAGAATAGACTCAACAGGGTCCCAACTCTACTGCCCTGTGGTAGGCCCAGGGCAAAAGGAGAGAGGCCTCTGGTGGCACTTTCAGAAGCTGCTGCTGATTGGTGTAGTGGTGCGTTACAAGACGTAAAGGGAACTAGTTCTCTAGCCTCAAGGACTTGCAGTCTAAGGAAGACAAGATAGATGGGGATGAGACATGGGATGACAGTGAAAGAGGGGCATGGAGAGAGCATTGTTGAGGGGAAATGAGAGAGAGGATTTCTGGCACAGAAGGTCGGAGGGGTTTGTTACTGTAAATAGGAAGGTGCGGGGAGGCTGTTGGTGAACTTGGAAGCAAAGTATGTTGGGGATGGCAGTGAGTTTTAGGGATGCTTTGGTTTGGAGGTGGAACAGGTAGCGCTGGATCTGCAGTCTCAGCCTAGTGAGGAAGTTTCAAAAGTTGAAGAGCAAACTAGGCCAGAGAGGATTGTGCAAAAGGGAGATTAAACCGGGGCAGGGAGCAGAGTCTTGTAGGGGAACCCAGCAGGTCCCCAGTAGGAAGCTATGGAATGTAAAGCCATGTTTTACCCTCCACGGGTTGGGAGGCACTTGTGCCTTGCTCCAACTCTTGGCCCAGTGTCAGTCAGTGACAATCAAACCACTTATTTACCTCGGCAGTTGATGTTTCAAGTCGTGGGTTTGAGTGACGGAAGAGAGAGTTAAGTGCGGAACTCACTATAGCAATTTGGCCAGTGTCCGTCACTCTCTGGCATTAGCATGTTGCAGGGAGGGACTCCCAGGAAGGTTATTGGTGTACACTGGCTGTCCCTGCCCCTGGAACTACCTTTCCATATGATGCACATAACAGCTTCCATGCCATTTGCCACATGCACCCAAGAGACCCAAGCAAAGGCCACTCCACAAAGAGGACGCATTTGTTTTTGATGTCAGGAGAAAGCTGTTGAGGGTGTTGCCGAGTGGGAGAGCATGAAAAGAAGAGAAGAGGATTTTCATGGACCAGACAGGACATGTTGACTGGAGGTCCATCTACTGTGGAACTGGAGTGTCCTGGATGGGCCTTTGTAGCAGAAGAGGTGGAGTTTTACAATGCAAATATCCTCTGGAGAATCCAGCACGTTATCCACACACAATGACCACTGAAGGGAAGGTGTAAACAACTCAGTCTCATTAACTTAACGAAAAGAAGGTTAAGAGGTGACTGACCATGGTCTGTAAGTACCTTCTCAGGGAGCAGATTTCTCAGAACAGAGGGCTCTTTAATGTAGCAGGCAAAGGCAGAATGAGAGAGAATGGCTGGGAGCTGAAGAATTCCAACGGGAAATCAAGGCCCAACTTTTTAACAGGAATGGGGATTAACCAGTAGAACAGCTTGCCAAGGGCTGAGATAAATGCTCCATCACTTGGAGTCTCTAATTGCAGGCTGGACGTCCATCTAAAAGACACACTCAAGCCCAACCACAAGTTAGTGGACTGGATGCAGGAATCCCTGGGTGAGGCTCTGCCGGATGGTCTGATGATC